ATGATCTGGGAAAGCTCGGAAAAATTATATGGATAAAAATTGACATTTTAGATAGCTTGTTTCTGTTGAAATTTAAAAATTAGTTTTTAATATATGCGTTTTATTATACATTGTCAACCGTGTCGGCTCATATTGGCATTTTTATTTTCCTGTGTGATTTAATTTTTGAAGCCTTTTCTTAAGTTCATTATTTAAAAAAAAAAATTAGTCTTAAATAATTATTTAAATTTAAAAAATTATTACAAATATCGCTTTTAATTTTGATACATATTCTTTTAAAGTAAAACAGTCTAACATAATTTTGAAACTCAATATATATCTTTTATTCATGAAACATAAGTAGCACAGAATTACTATGTTGCATGAATTATGTAAGACTTGATGTGTTTACAAGTTCATTGAAATTGAATGAAAGTTCAATCAAAATAAATGAAAAATGTCCCTTTGTAAAACAGTTAAAAATTACAAATATTGTGTTCAAGAGAAGAAATACTTGGCTCATTCTGTTTGGTTTAATTAAAATTCATTTAACTATATACGTCTTGTTGTGATCAAATCATAATCAAATCATTTTACTCATACATTATTGCGAGAATAAGTCTGTTATATATACTTGTATCAGAACGGTCAAAACTGTCTTGTATAACTGAAAAAAAGTATGCTTTCATTATATTTAATGAAAATAGTTTTGTTAAATTGGAAAGAAGCTATTATTTTTAGATCTGTTGTTGATAAATAACATCTATGATTTATACTGATATCATTCGCAAATGCATCAGAATTTAACGCAATGAAAGTCCAAATAAAGCGGGCTCCAAATATTGCTCGCTTATAATTAAATCTTGCTTCATAATAAGCTATAAATAATCGAGCGTATCACGTCCGTAGTTCAATCCGTACAAGCTTGCTTTTAACGGGCATGCTAAATCAGTGCACGATAACAGTCAGAGAGATATATAAAATAAAACGCGTTTAATTCTGACGGAATATCGATAGTTGCAAAATAGTTGTATCACAGATAGCGTGAATAGTCCAACAACATTAAATGCAAATTTTGCTGTAAACGCAAAAAATTGTATTAATATCTAGTATCTAATATAAACTTTAGATATCGTTGTAATAATTATCATTATTAATAAACTTACATTACTCCGCGAGAACATTGTAATTAAAATACGTAACATATAACATAAAATATAATATATAACATAAATATATAACATATTAATCTTACGAACTTTATAATGACTAATGTACTGCGTTAAATTAAAAGAAAAAATTTTAGTAATATCAGATATGAAACTTTCTGTTCACACATGTTATTGATGCGAAAGAATGATATCAGTATGTATGAAGAATGCGATAAAATATTTTTCGCATGTCAAATCACACAGACAATTCATTTCGTTCGATTCAATCTTTGGTTTTGAACGGAAAATTGTAGACTGTCTTTGTTCTAAAATTAATTCAATCTCGCAACTATTATGATGATGCCGTAAACATCGTCGATCTTAATCCATGCCGACACGTGCAGCGATGTGATACGAATTTTTTTTTCAATTCGAACCTCTCCCGCATTCTGTCATCCATCGAGAACAAATCGTGGCACGCCGGTGCCGAGAATGATCACGTAGAATCAAATAGAAAACGCGCCGAAACGAAAGGGAGTTAAGGGAGAATGAAAAATCAGTATCAATTGCAAAACTTGAGGATCTCGCCAAGAGGTTCCCCAAATGCGTGCAACACGACGCACAAAGTGGCGTGCGTGTGCAACACTCGTATACTTGATACGTACGTATATAGTACCGTACGTGTATATATATATTTTTTTATATGTATATTTTTCGTATGTATGTATATAATGTGTATGTATGTGTGTAACGTGTGCGTGTGCGCATGTGTGTGTATGTATTATGGAAGCGCCGAAGATACTCGCACGAGATTTTCGAAACTATTAAGACTCAGACGTATGTGGGGAAAACGAGACGTACATATCGGACTCGCGTGGAAATGATTCAATTTGCTGTCATCCATCGAACGTCATGTCCATTTTCGTATTTTCGAAAACCTTCCCAGCGATTTGTTTTCCCATTAACTCGGCAACGCATCGAGCCCAAGTACAATACATAATAAGAATAGCACGTCCCGCTCAGTGCTGTCATCGATTCTGTTACCGCAGGATGTAGAGCGATAAGATATACAGAAGATGCGATCGTTTTATTTGGCGATAAGTCTTGTCCCGTGAAGATAAATGGATATTCTGTACCCGCTGGGGGAGAATCGTAGAGAAAATACGAAAGATGGAGACGAAGGTGAATTTCTCTATTCTTTTTAGGCCCTCGTGTGTCCTCGCGTGAACGTCGACATCGAGCTTTGTACATTACCTTCGAGATCCGCGACTTCGGAAACGCCGGGATCACACTTTCATCGCGAATGTCGAAAGCCTAAGATAGAATCGTTATCTCTTATAGGATGCCTCTCGTACGTTTCGGAAATGATTGTTCCGCTAAATGTATCTCCCCTTTCTGGTTCCTTCTCAAAAAAAAAAAATTAATGCGGTCCTTACATCTCTGCATACTAAAAAAAATAATCGAACGGTGAGAATGTCAATGGTACGTAAAAAAATATCCAAATACACGCTTGTCAAAATGAGATGATGTTAATTGAACGTAAACGACGAAACGTACGAAGGGCGAAGTTTTGCCTTATTTTAGCGTCGTAGTACGTCAGCTAGGTGATCATGTGTTATGCGATATCCGCTAAAAGATATTATGTACACGCAGTATAGTTACGGAGTAGCGTTTCACATTTATCATACAGATAGACAATATTAACTTGGATGTATTTCAAATTGCGTCGGCTAAACAATTCCTATATTTATCCTAAACGCTAGATTAACTAAATCTTAACTGTAGTTCTGTCTTACCACTGCGCCTTACTTTGTTTCGCTCGCTAACTTACATACTTAAAGAGTACTTAAAATTAATGTTCTCGTAGGCATATATATCTATGCATTAAACTCTTAAACTTACGTCGCGTTCGCGTACACCAATTAACGTCATCGTAAAAAAGAAAGTAGTGGTAGTAGTAATAGTAATAGTAGAATAGTAATAGTATCAGTAATAATAGCAAATTACGGGCGAAAGGATCCATATTAATGTAATCGATTAAAAATTGGTCTATGGGCCTACACTCGGCGAGCGATAACGCTTGTACAATCAAACAGTATAACTCGCACAAAGAGAAGTAACACAAAAATTACAATGCACATAATATATAGACGCGTGTAAACGAAAGAAGTAGAAGAAAACAAAACATTTGCAGCCCTTTTCTCCTCGCCGGTCGATCGATTTGACCATTTCTGAAAGCCGATCGCTCCTCTCCTCGAAAAGGCACGAGAAATTGTAAATTCCAAGCCTCTTAGTCTCGTATCCGCAAGCTATAAGAAATCCGTATATCTCGTAGAAAAAACTCGTACAATGTATTATATGCGGCAGGGTTAAGAGTGAAGTCTCGAAAAGAATCGCAAGACGTCGGCCCGACGTAGAAAAAACCCGTTGCTCGTTCCGGTTCCCCTCCGGCCTTTGCGATTAATTAGCGTTTCATCGACGCTGATTGTTAATCTAATAGGGAGGTCGGTTGTGGTCGGCGACGCAACGAGAATAGCGGCCGAGAGAAGCCGCCGCTTTACTAAACAGGAACGGCATCTCCAGGTCGCCGTGTATCGCATTGACGAGTAAATTAGAGAAGACGAGCGATCGTAGACTTACTGCTTTTCGGTCTACTGAATGTACCGACCGGCGCCGTCGCTTTTACATTTTACGCGCATTACATCTACTACGAAGGAACAAAACGTCTGGGTACTCTCTGGGGATATTTGGCACAGATTAAACGGAATTTTCAACCCGCGACACGTCTCGAGCGACACGAGAACACAAAAGAAAGGAGTCATACACGCGCACGGATCGGGGCTTGACTGATCGCGAATTTCGCTTCGTAGTTCCGCCGCGTTTTTCTATAACGTACACGTCAAATACTAAACGTTGCATGTGGATGTATTTTGATTAATACCTTGTTGTTGTTCGATAGTTTCCACCTTCTTCTAGTAGCTTCGCGCTTATCCAGTGGTAACCCCGTAATAAGTATCGAAAGAACATATATACGCATCGTTATATCATAATATTTTTCCTCGCGTCGTCATTTCGTATTTTCTTCATTTCCGTAACAATGTAAAAAAAGAACGTAAATCTGTATATATATTTTATACTCTTTACAAATAATATATGTATGTAATATTGTATATATGTATATCATACAGCGTACGCAACCTTACGCGCTAGAAATATTACCGTGGTAGTTACTCGCTTAAGTCTAAAAATGTTCTACCCATTAAAACGGAAGGAGAAACGTCCACTTCGGGCCTCGTGATTTTCTCGCGAGGGAAGAGAACTTTTCTCCAGAGGGGGGGGGGGGGGAGGAGATAGGGGGAGAAGGACTCTTCGAGATTCAAAGCTATCTCGTGGCGATCGTCGGAAATGATCAGGAGGAATCGTTAGTATTTACATGAGATAAAGCGCGATAATGTTGTTTCGTTTTGACTCGACAATGAGGATCCTTTCGTCAAGCTTCGAAATTAGTTCGATCTTCACCTATAAATTACATCTGCGATTTTAAATCACTTTGTCCTTTCTATCTAAAAATCTTTCAATCGCATGCATTAATCCTTCTTAGCGGCCCTGTTGAGGCGAAGGCGAACGAAGCACGTAATAGGAACATACATAAAATTCATCTCTTCGTGCATCTCGCAATATATCTCCCAGTTCTTCAGCGCGAAGAATACACGTGATCCATGATCGTGATAATCGCTACCACTTCTCCTGTTTCTGCGAACGTTTTCTTGAATCGGCTGAAAGGAATTCCTCATTTTCGAATGATAAACCACGATGATTTCGCGCGGTGGAGGCGAGGACATCGTCGTTCTGAATGTGTAGTTCAGTGTACGGAGTGCGGGGTGTTATTGGATCACGAATGCTTCACCACGATCACGCCGGGTCGCTGCTGGGTCTGCTGTTGCGTATGAAATTGGAGGAAACGCTCGGCGTGCAGTATCCGTTGTTTCGCGGATGCTGCCGTAGCAGACGTCGTCGAGGGTGAAGAGGAAGAAGAGGCGGACGTGGTGGTCGTACATTTCGTTGAGTTCACCGTCGCCGGTTGCTGCTGCTGTTGTTGTTGTTGTTGTTGTTGTTGTTGCTGCTGTTGCTTGTTGGTCAATGCCAGTGGCATATCCTGCGCGGGTTCATCGCTGAATAGATGGTCACCCTCCAGATGACGTATCGCTTCGACGATTGTTTCCAGATTTTGTCGAGATGTGTTCGCGATGTATAACCTTGCCTGCGACGTACCGTCGTCTAGGGAGCTTGATGGCGAAGGCAACCTGTAGTGTCAAGAAATTTTTCATTGCAAAATTGACTCTTATTAGATCCTGTGTATTAGATTTCCTACAAAAAAAATCGGACTTACAGTAGTACACTCTTCCGTAGGAAATGCTTACATGTGACGTAATGACTGTCACATTAGACGATTTAGATATTTGAAACAAAGGTAAACTAAATGCCACTTTTTTTTAAATCAGTCCAATTATTAATTTAGATTCACTCTTATCTTTTCAAACAACAATCGGGATTGATTGCTCATTCATATTTAAGATAAAATAAGCATGTGTCACATACCTCTCCACCTCGACTTTGGGTTCAGCCTTCATCGCAGCTTCTAAAACACTGGGTAGCCGTGGTTCAGGGACTGGTGAGAAGGGCCTGCTGGGACTCGCGGTGATGTACTGAGGCGAGCTAGTCTTGAAATCTGCGGAGGATGAAGTAGCGTACGTGACGCGACTCGACGACGAGAACGAATCTGCGGTAGTTGGTTCCTCCATCGTCGTGAACACCTGATTCTGGGCGAAGGCGACAACCTTGGGGGTACTCGCACGTGACTCTTCCTCTTTGATCTCTTCCGACACCATTTCAGTCGGCTGCGGCGACAAAGGCGGCGAGCTTGGATCCGGACTGGACGTCTCTACAGTTTGAGTGGAGCCTACCGGCGGCAAAGACATGACCGATACCACCTGAAGCGTGGCTACCGCCTCCTCCGTTCCTTGCGCCATCACATTATCCGTATGCTCGATTACCTAAGAAAGTAGTGAAATTTTTAATTTATTATCGCACTTGCGAAACTTGTCTCTTTGCAATCTGTCTGTTCACAGCGAAGACCAGATGAAATATTTTGTACACGGAAAGCACACAGATAAAAGGGAAAGGGAAAGAAATCAATTCAATCAAAATAATAAAACGGTATATAACGTTGCAACGACCTGTTATCAGACGTAGTTATCTACGCGAACGATTAAAACAATGTTTGCAATATCTTTCGGTCGAAAAACGTTTAAACCCTCGAGAGTCAAACGAGTTTACGGTTGAATTATTTTCTGTATCGTGTACAGATAGCGATCTCTCGGCAATCGAAATCGCTCGTTTTCATTGACTGTGATTTTCCAGTTAAGACCTCTGTTATCGCGCTTTTATAACGTTTTTTTATAGTTACAAATTTTATAGTTTCATATTACCGATTCAATCAACTTATTTTTCTTTTCCTGAAGTTATATCGATTAATTTATATTTGCACTAAGTCCACTTTTACTTTACTCCCCGAAAGATTAGTGAAAGCAATACGGGAAAGCAATACGGGAAAGGAATTTACCTCGTGGGGCTGATAAGCGATTAGCTGATTGTCTCGGAATCTCTCTGGATACACCTGGCTCTGAATTGCTCTCATTTGTTTCTCTAAATGCAGTCTCGCCTGACGCTCCCTATCTAGCTGTCGCTTAAGCTCCACCACATCGCTGTTCACAACGGAATGTCCCTCTGTGGTCACTGTGATTACCGACAATGGCTCGGGGGACATGCTACCCAAGCCCTCATCGCCGCTCTCGCTGACATGCATTGGTAGACTAACGACAACACCTGAGAAAGCAGAAAAAATCAAAATGAGAGAGAAATTGAATCATATCTTTTTCGTAAAAAAGTGAATCGATTGATCAGCGCTTGAATAAGATAAAAACAAACCAAAATGATCACAAGAAAAATAATTAGAATAAAAATATTTTTACTAAAAACAAGGACTCCATAAATTAAAAAAAAAAAGCAATTATAACAAAAGGTTGTGAGAGTCAACACAGTTAACAGTGCGATTATCTTATATTTGTTAAAATTAATACATAAACCTTGATATTGTGATGTTAATAAGCGCAATCATAATATTTAAACATAACGTTTCAACTCATCTTTGAGTCATCTTCAGAAGGAATTGTCCAATTTTATTTTATTCTAATTATTTTTACTGTTTATTCTGATTTTTTGTATTCTTTAAACATCGCGACATTACATAAAAAAAAATCACATATGTTAGAGAAATAATAGCTGTGAAAAACAATTTTTGTAGTAAAAACAACTTGACGTTTTTATGAAACTAATTTATGAGAAAGGCTCGTAAAATTGGATTACAGTCGGAATAACCACAATGAACTTTCAGAACGTATTTTAGATTTCCAACACACACACATGCCAGTGTACCAACCTGTCCGCGTGATATAAATGAATGCGAGACCGTGAGCGAAATTAAATCTGGTCACTGTTTACGATATAGAGCAAATATAGAGACCATTACACTTCGCGCGGATCAAAGGCCAGTCCGTTTGTTTCAATGTTATATTAAAGCGAAGTGAATGTAACATTCCTGTATGTTCACTTCATTTGCACATTATTTGACATCATAGAATGTTACGGTGAATTATAATGCGGTAACGGTACAGCAAATTGTCCATCGTCCTTGCAAACATTTTCAATCAATCGAACATTTAGTAATTAATGTGATTTCGAACGGTACCTGTGATTATCGGCTATTGTTATCAATGAGATTGCAATCGCGATATCGAACGCTATTAATATCAATTTTTTCCTCAGCCTACATGTGGATTTAAAAAAGATGTGCTGTTAAATTGTTTATAAGATTTTTAATTCGTTATTCATGGTTTTATCCTAAGAATAAATATTTAAATATTAATCTCTCGTTACACCCCATATTCAACATTTAATTAGTTTTTATATTTATATATCTACTTATAGGTCTAATTGGGTAGTCTATATAATCATTTGAATAAAATGTAAAATGTATCTCAATAATTAAAATATATTTTTTCTCTATATAATAATAATAATAATAATAACATTAAATAAGAAAACATAGAAACATCTCCTATATATATATCTTAATTTTTCACCACTGTTTGTACAATTTGCATTATAAAAAATATCCATAAAATTTTTTAAAATAAATTGCAAAGATTTCGAATTAGCTTCTTCCCCGCAGATTCGATTACGAAACGTTAGTCCATCGGGCGAATAATTATTGTAAATGTTGGGGTTGATATTTGAAAGCAATCGAGAGGGTTAACCGCGATTGATCGATAAAAGTCGGTTCGTCGGCATTAAATCCGCTTCGTCGCACAGCCGACGACAAACTTTCTGAATATCGCCGTGCCATCGAACGGAGGAAACTAATTTACGATAGAACCGGAAATTGAAATTGTCTCGGCCGAAGTTCGCGACAGATACTTTCCGACAGGCACACCGTCGCGACGGCGACGTCGTCGAAATGCCACCGGCGTCGAAACAGGAGAGTACCCTTAATTCGCCCCTTGTATTTAGTCCTCGAAGTAATAAAGACTTTCGAGGACGGTCCTGACGCTGCCATTGCCCCTATCTGTTTCTCTGGATCCTTTATAATCTCCGAAAGTTTAACCTTCCTGATATTACCTTCTGGACATCTAACGATGCATGTGCAATGACACACATCACGGATTTAACAATTATTTATATTAAAATAAAAAGTTTTAATATTACTAGGAAATCCTATTTAAAATATTGAAACTCCTCTTCACTTATTTCATATCTCGATAAAAAAGTAATAAAATATTAGGATCTCCAAGAGATTCTCGTTCACATAGATAACAATTAAATTGAGTTTCACAAATCAAATTAAATTTTATGGAAATTTTTCATTTATATATAAGCGATAGTATCACCTCGTTATTATATTAAGCCTCCCTCCTGAAATATGTACATCCTGTACATCCCTTCGCGCGATACCAAGTCGCGAAGAATGTAATTACTTTCGCGAAAATGACGAACGGCTCTCTCAAAATGCGTCCGCAATGACCACATTGTCGACACGAAATTAAAAAATTCCTGCTTGCAAAATTTGCCACTCTTACCACGAAATATGATCACTGATTCGCTATAAATTAGATTATGTATGAATGAATCAAAAATAAAACTTCCAATTTGTGCGTATGTATATTGTGGCAAAGCGCGGTCGAATTTACCATAAAAGCGAAAATCCATACAGTCATGTTTATTTGAAAGTACGACGTTTACTTTTGAGCGGAAGTTTCAGAAATGCAACAATTCAATTTCGCGATTGAAAAATAACTTATAGAAACTTCGACGTGGCGCCGTATAAAAGCGGGAAAACCGTAAAATAAGCGGATTGCAATGTATATCCGCGTAACTTTTCGCGCTTTGCAGCGACTGTTTCCGCTTTTTGCTTTTACGATCCCAAATCCACATTGGGACATTGCAATCGCGGTCGCACGAGCGATAAATAATTCAAGTCCATTTGGAAAATCACGTTATATAACGGCCGACGAACGTTAATTCTATTGCTCTTTATGTATACAAATGTTTGCGGGCAAACAATGACATGATGTTTTATTGATGCAGTTTTACATTATCGCTACGTTTTCACGGTTTGCAATGAATCTTTTTTTACAGACGATCTCTTTGAGATCATTTTAATAAAATTATGTATTCTTTTGCAAAAATATATGAATGTTTTCACTTTTGTATAACAAAATTAATTTATTTTAAAAGTTGACAAAGAATTACCTTGGGTATCGGGTTTGCGTTTCTTGATAGGTACATCGCCACCTTCGTGTTGATTTACCAATCGTTTTAGTTGGCAATTTTGTGACAGCAGTTGTGTTTTCTCTTGCTCTAATTGGTATATGTATTCGGCAGTCTGTTGGAGTATCGCAGCCTGTAACATAAATAAAAAGGAATTGTTTCTTGTAAAATCGTAATACTTTTTCAGGTTATTACAATCTTCAAGCGTCACCATCTTTTCATTGAGAAAAATGTTCTAATTAAATCAACAAAAGAATCCAATACAAGAATGGTATTTCGTGAGACCGAGCAGAATTTCTGATTACCATAATCAATGCCATTCTTGTTACGCTCTTTTGTTGGTTTAATCAGAATATTTTTTCAGTATTGTGTTAAAATTCACGCAAAAGTAAGTTTGTACTTGAAGTAAAATCACGAAATACGTTTATGATCAAGAAAAGACGTCGCAATAAAAGTTGTCGAGAACATCCGAGACAAGGACTCGAGGAGAAGAAAGAAAAGAGAATATGGAGAGAAGAAAAAGAAAAGAAGATCTCACAATAAATCCAGAGAGATCGCGTTTGTCGCAGGTGCTCCTCACGTATCACATGCAACCTGCGCCGGAGAACCATCGGCAGAGGGAAGAAGAGAAGAACGGGGACTTCCTGTTTACTGTGTCACAAGCTTAAAGGGTTTTACGTGGTCAGGATGGAAAAGAAGGGGACCACACCGTATGGGCCGATAACATCCGGTGGAGGCTATCGCGTGTCGTGTGTACTACGTCGTAGTAAAACGGGAATGACTTCGAAGAACAAACCAGCAAAAACAAAAGGGCCGATTGATACCAACTGCGCGGGGTAACGGGGCCGGGTGTACGGTTCGCACCTGCCGACAGGTGGTTAACGAACAGATGCCCCGTGTACGCTGCGATCGTAAATGCACGAATGATGTCTACCACCGCCTGGTCCTTTCTCCGAGCAGCCGGTCCTTCGCGTCACGTTCTTACGTTGAAGGAAAAAAAAAAGAAGAGAACGTGCTCGATTATCCCCCTCGGAGATACCCCTTCTTTTTCGGTGTTAATTGGATACCAGCCTGGAGCAATCGAGCAATTGATACGCACAACTTTCCCCTCTCTATCTCTAACTATGTAACTCAATTACATATCTCGTATAAATGGTCTTTTAAAAAAATAAAAAAGTGTAGCTTTAGATAAAATATAAATTAAATAAAACAAAAGGCAAATTATTAAACTATTATTTAGTTTATAAATTGAAAGTCCGTATATTTTACTAATCTTCGATTAACATAGTAATTGGAATGATAAAGTTATATTTTGTATACAATAAAAATATCTGAGAGCTCCTTGAATTAAAACATAATAAATTATCTTATTTCGATATTTTTATAGAATAGAAATTACGATAAAAATATGCAATACACTTTGAATAATAATTATTTAATTACTGAACTTACAAGGAAAGGGACGCAACTGTCCCCCTCCAATTTTAATGAGCTTTTAATATGTTATTTTCCAGACAAAAATAAGCGACACGTTTTATTTATTTATAAAGAAAAAATTTTTTTTCTTTATAATTATATTTCTAAAGTACTCTTAATGCCATTCAATTTTCATTATGAAAATTTTTTTCTATCTCTTACAGTTTTGGCGATATTCGTTTCGAAAGAGAAAAACCAATTTTCTTCTAAAGGGTGTTTCATCCCCTAAAAGTACGTATGGGCACGTAATATATAATTATAAAAAAATACGTATCGCTTATTTTTGTCTGGAGAATAACATATTAAAAGCTCATTAAAATCGGAGGGGGACAGTTGCGATCCTTTCCTTGTTAGATAAAAGATTTATCATAAGATATCAGAACGGTTTATTATTAAAATTGCTTCATTTTATCTAGTTAAATATGTAAGTAATCTTAAACGGATATGAAAAGACGGATTTAATAATAGTCATTAAATGAAACATTCTAAATTAATTTCAGGTTACGCTTATTTTTACAAGTATATGCATAAAATGAAAATTAATAATGGCAGATAGTATATAAAAAAATGTAACGCTGAAAAATCACAAGTCAGTAATCTGAATATATTAAGTTGTAACATTATCTCAATTATTATTTACTTTCAGTTAATTACCTAAAAGTAAATCCAAATATCTTATTTTAAGCGATTGATCGTATCACTAGATAACTTATTTTTAAAATTTTTTAAGAATTAAATTTCATAAAATATTTATATTTTTCAGAAGAGCTCAAAACAAATCGAATCATTTTCGGTTTGTTATTGTTGTCATAATTTCTAACAAGTATTGTACAATCAGCTTATAAAGTAATGTAACGATTTAAAGAATGCCTCACGTAATATCATTTTTGTGGTTTAATAGGAAAAAATCCCACTAGGAACGGAATTTTTTAATAAAGACAGTAATGTGAAAGAAGATATTATACTTGGAAATTAAATTAAACTTGGGAATTAAATTAAAAATCGGAATGTCTGCGATTAAAGATCGTAAATCGACTTGAAAAAATGTGTAATAAAGATATGTATTAATGATAAAAAGACAATCAATAGAGTTCATTCACACTTGCGATATTAATTGCTTAACGCGTTTCTTAAGTCCAGTCGCGGAAGGTTGAGAGCGTCACGGCCACAACTTTTGCTTTCTCGGGAGTGGAATAAAAAGAATCTCATGGAGCAGGTTGGCGATTACCAGGCCGGAAGACCGTATTTCTCGCACGCAGCTTCTACGGTCGGCTCAGCTCAAGCTCCAATGCACGTGCCGAATTCTTGTTAGCCGAATCGCTTTGCAAAACTCGACGCAGGCCAAGGCCGCTCGCCAGCGGCGACGGCGGCAGCGATGATGGGGACGATGTTATCTACAGGTAACAGGTAACGATTTATAGCGGATGGGACAACCTTCTCTTTCTTGAACAAGCCGCAAATTCTATCCGCAGCTTAATTTGTATTCGCAATGATAATTCAAACTTAGATATGCATTAACAACAATTCTAATTCACAAATTTTCCATATAACATTCTAATTTGTTTATATTCGTAGAAATAATATTTTTCTAAATATACCAATTTATTTTATGAAATATTATAATAGTATCATTATTTATATAAATATAAAAAAATTCGGCACTGATTACCGCACCAAAAAACTGATTAGTCCTTGATTAACTTACTTTGTTGACAATTTCGAAAGTTGATAGAGATTAATAATAATAATATTCATAAAAATAATAATTAAATAAAAGAATAAAACATTAGAATACACGAACGGAATTTTCGACGAATTTTTAATCCGCCGATTATTATACGCTTCCGATCTCGTCTGTGCGTAAAGAAAAGTTTAAAGTACGACAGCTGCGGTTCCTCGTGTCTGAATGGGATGACAATACGCCGCGATCGATATAGGAGTACAAGATGAGAAGGGCGAAATAATGCTGGCAGCTGGTGATCGAAAGAGAGGAAAATCCGCTGC